CCCCCCCCCCCCAGCACCAAGAAGACAGAGCATCACTTGCCCCAGAGCCCCTATCTATACCTTGTGGCTAATAGCCACTGATGGACCTCTGCTCCATATGCTTATCTAATTCCCTTTTGAAGCTGTCCATGCTTGTAGCCGCCACCACTTCCTGTGGCAGTGAATTCCATGTGTTAATCACTCTTTGGGTGAAGAAGTACTTCCTTTTATCCGTTCTAACCCGACCGCTCAGCAATTTCATGGAGTGCCCACGGGTTCTTGTATTGTGAGAAAGGGAGAAAAGTACCTCTTTCTCTACCTGCTCTTTCCCATGCATAATCTTATAAACCTCGATCATGTCACCCCTCAGTCGTCTTTTCTCCAAGCTAAAGAGCCCTAAGTGCTTTAACCTTTCCTCATAGGGAAAGTGTTCCAACCCTTTTATCATTTGAGTTGCCCTTTTCTGCACTTTTTCCAAAGCTATAATATCCTTTTTAAGGTGTGGTGACCAGAATTGCACACAGTATTCCAAATGAGGTCTCACCATTGATTTATATAGGGGCATTATTATATTGGCTGATCTGTTTTCAATACCCTTCCTAATAATCCCCAGCATAGCATTGGCCTTCTTTATTGCAGTCACACACTGTCTCGACATTTTCAGTGAGTTATCTACTACAACTCCAAGATCTCTCTCTTGATCAGTCTCTGCCAGTTCAGACAATTTATTTACCAGCAGTCCTAAACTGTGATTTTAAGCTTTGGTTTTTGTAGATATATTTTTTAAAATTTTATTGTATGTATTTTTATCTATATTGTAAGCTGCCCTGGGCTCTGTATGGAAGAAAGGCGGCGAACAGATGTTTTAAATTAAATAAGTATAGTAACTAAATACTTACTGGCCCCTGTGGCTCTCTGTTGGGCTGTCCGTCACCCCTTCCGTGGTGTTCCCAGCCTTCCTCCTGGGGTACATCTCCTCCCGGGGATCCTGCAGCGTCTGTGGGGACTTGCTGACGGTGGTGAGCGATGAGCGCCCGTACGGAATGGGGGAAGACCCAGGAGGAGCCCCCTTGTACTGGGCTGACCTGCGGGAGATGTTCCAGAAGCACCTCAACAAGGAGAAGATTGAAGCGACAATCCGGTGAGCCCCCCCCCCCCCCCCCCCGGTTTCTGCGGGGGGGGGGGGGTTGGGGGGGGGAGGCAAGGAAGCAGGACTCCTGCGGTCTCCCAAACACAAGCAGTGCCTGGATGAGCAGTTGGGATCAGTGCTCCCTCTAAGCTGTGGAGTCTTGTGAGCAAAAATCCTACTGGCATTAAAGTTATGAGCGAGCGATTGGGCTGCTGCGTAAATTAGTCTGCTCTGGAGCCACATCATTCCTGAGCTAAGACAAAAATGTGTCAGCCGAAGGCTAAGAAAATGTGAGCTAGCTCACACTGACTCAGCTTAGAGGGAACACTGATTGGGAGCCCATGAACTGACTTGAGTCATTATCTCGTAGGAGTCCCCCAGGCTGTGAAACATGCTAATGGAGGAGTTTTCCTGAGGAGGTTCTTTTGTATATGGATTGTTTCCTTAGACTACAACAGAATTAAGTTTGAGTCTGGGTAGGGTTGCCAAATCCTTTTCGTCTCGCGGTGGGGGGCTCCTGTACGGTGTCCCTTGCGCGCGTGCGCGCCGCATACGCGCCGCATACACGTCACCCGGATGTGACGTGATGACGCCGGGCATGCTGTTTCCCCCTCAAATGGCTGTGGCCCCGCCCCCAGCGTGCCCGGGGAAAACTCTATGTTTTCCCCTCAAATGGCTGTGGCCCCGCCCCCAGCATGCCCGGCGTCATCACGTCACATCCGGGTGACGTGCACGCCGGGGTGGGGTTTCCCCCGGGGCCCGATTCCGCGGCGGCGGAAATCGGGCCTCCAAATCGGGGGGAAATCCGCCCCCCGGGGGGAATTGGCAGCCCTAAGTCTGCGGCACCTTGAAGGCCAACAAAGTTTAATTCTGGGCATAAGCGTTTGTGTGCATGCACACTTTGCGTTGGAGGTGCGGTGTGTGTCTCTGGTTGATGCTATGCCCGACCTTCCCCCTTTCCACAGAACAATTAGCGAAGCCCCCCACCCTCCTGGCTCGTCCCGCCTGGATGTCCTCTCCACCCATGTTCTCAACTCCTTCACCTCTTATGGACTGGACCACAGCTGGACCGACAGCCACTACGTGGGACTCCAGAAGCCCAGCCGGTCAGTGGAGCGTGCAGACGGGAAGGGTCGGTTTCAGGGTGTGTGTCTGTCTGTCTGTCTCTCTGACCCCTCCTGCCCTCCTCCCTACAGGCAGCAGCCTAATTTCCTACACCGCGTGAATGCTGATGGAGCGGTGCTGGAGAAACTGCCTCTGGGGGACCCCCAGGTGTACTGTCCCTACAGTGCCTCTGGCGTTGTCACGGTAATGTGTTTACAGTAGGTTGGTAATTCTGCCTCTGGCCACTAGGGGAGGACTTGAGGATGCACAAGCACAGTGACCTGGAATATTCGTGTGCCTGTCAAAAAAGATGGTCGCCTTAAAGGGGAAGAACCTGCAAAACACAGACTTCAGGGAAATGATGGGCTGAGGACACAGTTGCACCCCCTGGCTCCTGTCACGTATGTCCCCACCCCCTGATGGCGTCTGGATAGAGTGGGCCTTTCCTTTTCCTGAAGCACGTCTGCCTCTCTCCATCTTTCTTTCTTTCCTCCATGTCTCTGCACAGGGTGGCCTGGTCTTTGCCAACTATGGACGCCGAGAGGACTTTATCCTTCTGAGGCAACGTGGTGTTAGCCCCCAGGGACAGCTGGCCATTGTTCGTGTGGGACAGATCAGCTACGCTGAGAAGGTGGGCCTGCGTTCCAGGAGAGTCTGACCAGAAAGGTCCCAGCTACCCCAGTCTCCTCAGACCTTGGAAGCTAGGCAGACTCAGACCTGATTAGGACCGGGATGAGAGGCCACCGATGAAGTCCAGGGCTGCTATGTGGGGGCAGGCACTGGCACACCACCTCTGAATCTCTCTCACCTTGAAGACCCTGCAGGGTGGCCACAAGTCCACTGTGACTTGATTAGGGCTGCCAAGTGGGGGCGGGTGGCGGGTAAACCCCCGCTTCGGAGGCCCGATTCCCACTGCCGCGGAATTGGGCCCTGGGGGGAACTCCGCCCCCCGAAGTGCAGCGTGGCTGCGTCACCGGAGGTGATGCAACCACATCAATCACGTTGGGGGCATGGCCCCGATCGTCAGAGGGAAAACTCTATGGTTTTCCCTCCGACGATCGGGGCCACGCCTTCAACGTGATCGACGTCGCACGTCACTTCTGGTGACGTGCTGGTGGTGCGCGTGCGTGCGCACATCGACAGATGGCTCCCGGAGTCTGGCGTGGGTACCCCGCCAGTAAGAAAAATTGACTTGGCAACCCTAGACTTGATGGCACTTCCCCCCCACACCTCCTTCTGTGCAGGGGAAATAGGTCAACTAGCACATAGCGGGGGAAGCCAGAACGTCATAGACTTACAGGTAAAATATCTTCTAGTTCAGGGGTGTCAAACATGCGGCCCGGGGGCCACAGCAGGCCCCCAGAGGGCTTCTATCAGGCCCGCAGTGGAACTGGCTGTCTTCTGCTCCTTCTTCCAGTTCTGCTGCTGCTGTTGCGTCATCATAGGTTTGCAGCCTACAGATACACACCTGAACAGCATACTCAAGATGGCAACAGCACAGACATTTTGATGCAGTTATTCAGAGCAAGAGGTGTCAGTGATCAGACACTGTTATATAAACAAAATATTTGCAAGAGTGCTGATGTTTTAAGCATGTTTTTAAGTTACAAAAAACCCCTTTGTGTTTATATCCTTTATCAAGTTTATATCTCAGCTACCTGGCATTACGTTTTATGACACACGTGGCCCGGCCCAACAAGGTCTCATTTATGCCAGATCCGGCCCTCTTCACAAATGAGTTTGACACCCCTGTTCTAGATTTTACAGGGATTTGTCATGAACTGGAAGCCAGGATTCCTTTAGGAAGTGAGGGGAATGTAACATTGTTGGGGAATCCACGAGGAATGATTAATGTAACAGATTGTAGTTCTGCCTCTGGACACTAGATGGCGACCTGAAAGTGCTCAAGAACAGTGACCTGGAATATTAGCACGCCAGTCAAAAAAGATGGTTGCCTTAGAATCATAGAATCATAGAATGTTAGAGTTGGAAGGGACCTTGCAGGTCATCTAGTCGAACCCCCTGCACTCTGCAGGAGCATAGCTGAAAGATAGCCCTACATACCTACAGGGGTCATTTTGTAGAAAAAGAGGGGCAGGAGCTCATTAGCATATCTCATTAGCATAACTTATTTGCATAGGCCACGCCCCCTGACATCACCGAAAGTGTGTCAGAAGGCAACACCCACCGCTCAGGCTCCACTGGACTGTTTTGGATTGCTAGCTATGGGGGGGGGGGGAACTTGCAGATCTGCCCTCACAGAGGAGGGAGAGCCTGTACCTGAATAAAACTTGGCCTTAAAGGTGCCACTGGACTGTTTTGGACTGGGGGGTCTCTGCAACTTACCTGGCTGCTTCTTGCTCTGACTGAGGGCTGCTGGGAGCAGGGGGCGGGGCTTCTTGCATGTGCCCGCCCCCTGGGCTCTTTACTGCCAGAGCTCCGCTCCTGTGCGCTCCTGCAGGAAATGACCCCTACATACCTACAACATACCTGAAAGATGGTCGTCCAGCCTCCGCTTGAAAACGTCCTTAAAGGGGAAAGAAGATGACAAGATGAGGACTTGGGGGGGCTGGAGTGGAAAAACGGAGGGCTGGGTTGTACACATGAAGCTGCATCTCACAGAGCCAGACCACTGGTCTATTGAAGTCAGTGCTGTCTACTCGGAGTAGAGGAGATGGCCCCATCTCGCAGCAATGCTGATGGTGTGAACTTGGGCAGACCATGAGACTGGAGGGCAGGAAGGGTGGCCTCCGTGCTTAGTTCTCGTGGCCCTTTCTTACGTGCCCAGGGAAATGCTGATTGCCACTTTGGGGTCAGGAAGCCATTTTTCTCCAGGTCAGTTTGGCCCCCAGGGATCCTGGAGGTTTCTAGTCATCTTCTGGGTGTGGAACTGGGGTCTCTGTGGGTGCGGAGGGGGAGGCATTTGTGAATTTCCTGCCTTGTGCAGGGGGTTGGACTAGATGACCCCGGAGGCACCTTCCAGCTCTAGGATTCTGCAATTCTATGATTCTATGACTGGTAGCAGTTCTCTGGGGTCTCAGGGAGAAGTCCTCGTACCACCTGACCCTCTAACTGGAATATGGGATCGTTTGCATGCAAAGCACAGGCTGCCTGCGTCACTGACCCTTGGCCCCGCTGTGGGTTCTCTGTGGGGAAGGGGAAAGGCCTTTGGTGAGTGGAATCGAAAAGGGGCATTCTGTTCCCGGACTCAGGAGTTCTCTTTGCCCCCCAGCTGGCCAACGCGGAAGCCGCCCAGGCCGCAGGGGTTCTCATTTACCCAGACCCCTTTGACATCCCCCAAGACCCTCGCAAACCGGAGCTGTCCCAGAACACCACCATCTACGGGCACGTGAGTAACGCAGCCACTGGGGTGTCCGCAGGAGTCGGAGGCAGGGGCCAGGCCTTCTCCGTGGCTCAGCTCCCGGCTTTCTCCCCACGCTTCCAGGTTCACATGGGTGCCGGAGACCCCTACAGCCCCGGATTCCCTTCTTTCAACCACACTCAATTCCCCCCCGTGCAGTCCTCGGGGCTCCCCAAAATCCCGGTGCACCCCATCAGCGCAAACGTGGCCGCACACCTGCTCAGGTGAGTTGGACTCAAAGGCTTGTTGGCATTTGGGGGGTGGGAAATGGGCTAGGGGTGCCAGGATCTCCGGGAGAAGACGGCAGTCCCCTGGAACAGCGCAAGCTTGGGGGGGATGAGGCTGGGAACCAGACGTTTCCTCTCCGGCAGCCAAATGTTGAGGGGGTGCCTCTCCAAACCCTCTCCTCACTTCCCGGCAGGCAGCTGACCGGTCCCGCTGCCCCCCGTGACTGGCACGGACGCCTTCCCGATGTCCTGTACGTGCTCGGCCCAGGGGAACCCACTTTCCTGCTGCAGTTGGGAGTCCACAATGTGAAGCAGTCTGTCATGATCAGCAATATCTTCGGGTGCATCGAGGGCAGAATTGAGCCAGGTAAAAGGGACTGGGGCAAGGCTCCCTCTAAGCTGCGAAGTCTTGTGAGCAAAAATTCTCCTTTGTGAGCTACTGGCATTAAAGTGGTGAGTGAGTGATTTGGCTACTACTGCATAAGTTAGTTTGCTCTGGAGTCCTCCTTCCTGACCTAAGACAAAAATGTGTGAGCCGGAGGCTAAAAAAACTGTGAGCTTGCTCACACTCACTCAAAGGGCTCACTGGACTGGGGGTGTCTGGGGCTCTTTGGATGGGGACTGGAGACCCGGTGTGGTGCAGTGGTTAGAGTATCAGATTAAGATCTAGGAGACCCAGGTTCGAATGTCCACTCTTCCATGGAAGCTCGCTGGGTGGCCTTGGGCCAGTCACCCCTTCTCCGCCTGGGCCCACCTCGCAGGTCTGTTGGGAGGAGAAAATGGAGGAGAGGAGAAAGTGGCAAGGCACTTTGGGCTCGCTGCTGGGGAGAAAGGCGGCACACAAACAAAGTAAATAAAAATAAATTGGGGGGGGGGCAACTAGAAGAAGAGAGAAGAGAAGAGATTGGATTTATACCCCGCCCTTCACTTGGAGTCTCAGAGCGGCTTACAAACTCCTTTCCTTTCCCTTCCCCTCCTCACAACAGACACCCTGTGAGGTGGGTGGGGCTGAGAGAACTCTGACACAAACTGCTCTTTTTCAAGGACAGCTGTGCCAGAGCTTGTGACTGACCCAAGGTCACATCAGCAGGTGCAAGTGGAGGAGTGGGGACTCAAACCCGGTTCTCCCAGATTAGAGTCCGCACACTTAATAACCACTACACCAAACTGGCTCTAAAGTGCAGGGGGGGAAATAAGAGCCCCAGACTCCTCTGGTACCTGAGAGGGGAGAGATGAGAGGGGAGGCGCTTGCATCGTTCTGCAATTGCAGGTCATTCCTCAACACCCTCTCCCTCCACGGAGGATCCTTCTTACTTTTAATGCATGTCTTTTTCATGATTTCTCCCTGTAGATCACTATCTCATTGTGGGGGCCCAGAGGGACTCCCTGGGGCCGGGAGCTGCTCGTTCTGGGGTGGGCACCGCCATCGTCTTGGAACTGGCGCGTACCTTTGCTGCCATGGTACGGAATGGTAAGCCAGGGGAGGGGGACTTGCTTTAGGGTGAACCCAAAGGACGGTTAACATTTCAGGCCCCCTGTGTGTTGCCTTTGCCTTGGGGTCGGCTCATAGCTACACTAACGGCTCCCGCAACGCTGGTGTGGCTGTCAAAAAAGATGACTACCTCGAAGGGTTAAGAGGAAGGTGACTCAGTGGTAGAGCATCTGCTTGGCATGCAAAAGGTCACAGCCAGCGTTCCCTCTCAGCTGAGTTAGTGTGAGTGAGCTCACAGTTTTTTAGCCTCCGGCTCACAGATTTTTGTCTTCGCTCGGGAAGGATGGCTCCGGAGCAAACTAATTGATGCAGCAGCCAAATCGCTCGCTCACAACTTTACTGCCAGGAGCTCACAAAGTAGAATTTCTGCTCTCAAGACTCCACAGCTTAGAGGGAGCATTGCAGCCAGTGTTCCCTCTGAGTTAGTGTGAGTGAGCTCACAGTTTCTTAGCCTCCGGCTCACACATTTTTGTCTTTGCTCGGGAAGGATGGCTCCGAAGCAAACTAATTTATGCAGTAGCCAAATCGCTCACAACTTTACTGCCAGGAGCTCACAAGCTTAGGGGGAGCATGGGTCACAAGTTCAGTCTCCAACACCCCCAGTCAAAAGGACCGAGGAGGAGGTGATGGGAAAGACCTTCCTCTGCCTGAGGTCCTGGGGGGAGCCGCTGCCAGCCTGAGTGGGCAATACTGACCTTGACGGGCCAAGTGCCTGACTCAGTAGGAGGCAGCTGCCTGTCCGTTCATGCGCGTTTGTGAATGGAAGCATATCTGCCGTTTGTAGAAAGAGAGTCTATTAGATGGGGGGAGGGAATGAGATGGCCTCGGCGTCCGGGGGGGGGGCTCTGCCCGGGACGCGGGAGGCCTCTCTGCTGCTGTCCCTGCCTGAGCTTTCCCAACCCCTCCAGGGTTCCAGCTGCGAAGGAGCTTGCTGTTTGTGAGCTGGGATGCCGGCGACTTTGGCAGCGTGGGCTCCACGGAATGGCTGGAGGTGAGCCGGGCCCCGGGGCCCTCCGTGGACTTGGGGGAGCGCCTGCTTCTCCCCCGGAAATGTTAGGCTTGCCAACCCCCAGGGGACTCTAGTAACAAATAAATATACACTGCAAAAACCTTTTAGCAAACTAATGTGTTCTATTTATGGTCATCATTTAGTAAAGTGCATAGTGTAATTATTTCATCCTAGTCAGGTATAAATATTCATTACATTCAATAAGCAATAACATTCAATACATACAGATTCCTAACTACCAGACAATTTTGCACCAGTGTTTTAAAAGTGAAGCCCCAACGGGAGTTTCTAGAATTATAAGCCTGCTTCTCCTTGCATGAAGTCTTCCAAAAAGGGGGACAGCCTTCTTGTGTGGATGCTTTTTGCTGGTCCTACAAAAGACACATTATGCAGCTAACATTCATGGACGGAGTACTCCTGTCATGTAATGAATATTTATACCTGACTAGGATGAAATAATGATACACTATGTACTTTACTAAATGATGACCATAAATAGAAGAAGAAGAAGAAGAAGAAGAAGAAGAGATTCTTCTTCACTACCCAAAGGTGTCTCAGAGCGGCTGACAAACTCCTTTCCCTTCCCCTCCTCACAACAGACACCCTGTGAGGTGGGTGGGGCTGAGAGAGCTCTTGACAGAAACTGCTCTTTTTCAAGGACAGCTCTTATCAGAACTACGGTCACATCAGCAGGTGCAAGTGGAGAAGTGGGGAATCAAACCCGGTTCTCCCAGATCAGAGTCCGTGCACTCAACCACCACACCAAACTGGCTCACATTAGTTTGCTAAACACATTAGTTTGCTGAAAGGTTTTTGCAGTGTATATTTATTTGTTACTAGACTCTCCTAACACTGCAGCTTGGGTGGCTTCAACCCCCAGGGGATGACTGGAGATCTCCCGGGATCACAACAGAGATCAGCTCACCCGGAGAAAACGGCTGCTTTGGAAGTTGGACTCTGTGGCCTTACAGACCCCCCCACTGCAAGCCATCCCCCTCCCCAAACCCCGCCCTCCCCAGGCTCCACCCCCCAGAATCTCCAGGTATTTCCCAACCCGGAACTGGCAACCCCAAACTTTTTGAGCCTGCGGTCACCTCTGGCATTTTGACACACGTGCGGCAAAATGGCCCCCACGGGAGGTGGAACCAGCCAGCCACAAAATGGCCGCCGCAGCTGGCCCACCGTTGCGCCCTGAGAGATCCGTGGGCTGCGGTGGCAGCTTGAAAAAAACCGGCACAGCCAATCAAGTCTCCAGTGAGCCACCAGAGGCCTTGAGGCCCAGAAGCCCCCCCGCCCCCACTTTCTAAAAATACTTGCTGGGTGCCAGGAAGGGGGTAGGTTGGTGCTGTAGTGCCCCTGGCCACCACGCTGGGAACTGTGTAGACGTACTAGGCGGGGGGGGGGGGAACCAGGTCAGTGGGCATTTCTCAGTGGGGGGGAGGGGCTCGGACCCTGGGGCAAGGGGCAGGTGGAACCCCGTTCTCAGCAGCAACTTCTCAGCAGCAATGCCTGCTTGCCGTTTGCTGGTCTTACGAACCTGCCCTTCAATCCCACTCCTCTTGCCCCCATCCTCTGCAGGGATATCTCACCATGTTGCATCTGAAAGCAGCCGCCTACATCAGTGTGGACAATGCAGCCCTGGGTGAGTGGGGCGCACTGGGAGGGCGCACGGACCGTGGGTGGCAAGGAGGGCAGAGAATCCTCCGCCTGCCCGGGGGGCAAATGGGCTCCACTGGTGCCTTTCCAGCCCCTTTTGCTAGTCCTGGAACCCTTCACTGCTA